AGGCGCTGAGCCAATATTTTTATTTTTTAAGATAACTCTATTTCCTAAATCTTTGGGTGGGGAGAAGGGTTTATTGCTGCCCTGTCTGTAGGGTAGCTACTATCCAGAACCCTGGATATGTGGCTAAATTTAAACTTTAGAAAGCATTAAAATTAAAAATCACTTCTTCAGTGACATTATCTCCACCTCAAGTTCTCAGAGGCCTCCTGTGGCTAGTGGCTGCTGTCCTGGGCAGTGCTAGTCAAGAACATTGTTACCATCGCAGAAAATTTTATTGGACAGTGCTAGGCTAGGATGTTCTTTGCCCAACTCAGAAAGCTTAATGGCCTTAACATGTTGGGGCTTAGTGTTCCATAGTCCATAAACTCAGCAGCTTTGGAGACAAATTATGCATATTAGTTCTTTGCATGGCATGTTAAGAAGAGGGTTCTGGGGCGACATCTGTGGCTCAAGGAATAGGGCGGTGGCCCCCTATACCGGAGGTGGTGGGTTCAAACCTGGCCCTGGCCAAAAACTGGAAAAAAAAAAAAATAGAAGAGGAGGGTTCTGATCTGCCAGTTGGGAGGGCAGTGATCAATTATGAAAGAATTTGAGAGGGGAATTTAGCTGGGAGCCTAGGGACAGAAGGGCTGGGTGCTATGCCTTTATTTACAAAGCCATTTGGTTTGATAGCCTGTTTTATCATAAAGGGCCTTTCTGGTTCTGCAAGACCTGTCATTGTCATTGGTCTCCAAATGTCAGGTGTCACCAGGTCTCCTACTTGGTCCTTTGTCATCTGATGACTTCTGCGGGATCGTGGTGTGGGCTCTCAAGGTTGCATTTTCATTTTATTCCCAAGTCCATGTAAAAGGAGACATTTTTCTTTATGAAGATGCTGGGGAGAGTGAGGCCATGTACGGGTCCTGATGTGTTGGTGTGGGGCTAGGGGGAGGTGCTGCTTTATTTCTGGATGCCCCTTCATCTGGTCCTGAGTGTGTGCTTTTTTTTTTTTTTTTTTTGAGACAGTCTTATTTTGTCGCCCTCTGTAGGGTGCTGTGGCCTCATAGCTCACAGCAACTTCCAACTCTTGGGCTCAAGTGATTTCTCGTTTCAGCCTCTCAAGTAGCTGGGATTATAGGCACTGCCACAATGCCTGGCTATTTTTAGATACGGTGGTCTCACTCTCGCTAAGGCTGGTCTCTGCCCTGTGAGCTCAGGGCAGTCCACCTGCCTCAGCCTCCCAGAGTGCTAGGATTACAGGCATGAGCCACCACGCTTGGCTCTGGATGTGCCTTGTTTAAACCCACTGGACTGACCGTTGGAGCCCGACAGCATAAGGTACATATGAGTACTTACTGCCACTTTAGGTGGGTTTTTTGGTCTATGCTGTTTTTATTTTCTCTCAACCCTGTGACGTTAAGTACAGCATCTCTAGTTTGTGGGTGAGAAACAGGGGCCCCCGGGGTATAAGCTGATCCCAGGGCACCACAAGGGCCAACTGGCTTTGGACCCGGATCAGGCACCCCTGCCCAGGACCCCACTGCACCCTCCCCCTGCCCTCCATGTGCCTCAGAGGCTGTTTCTTATTTATGGCCCCACATTCACTCTGTCCTCATCCAGAAAACTAAACTGGATTTTTAAAAGATTAAAACTATATATTACCAAAATTTGAGTCTGTCTTTC